GGGCGCTGTTTATGTGGGACAGTTATGGGAACCGAGGGAGAATGGCCGCGGGCGCTGTTTATGTGGGACAGTTATGGGAACTGAGATGTGAAAAATCGGGGGTTCTCAGTAGCATGGTTATCTGGGGCGACTGGCTGTGGCGCGGTGTGGTGCAGCAGCTAATGGGGTGAGGACAGGGCTCCGTGTGGACGCTGAGGTGTCATCTACAAGGCTGACTGGCTGGCGCGTGCCATCCCAGCACGGCCCCACTGGTCGACTTCTCTTCCCCAGGCTTTTCCTGCTCGTCCAGGCCTTCGGGGGGGTGAGTGTGGCTGAGTTCTCCTCCCGTCACGGGCCCGGCCAGAGGAAGAAGACTCTGAAGCAGTTCGAGCAGGGCAAGATTCAGCTGTGAGTTCTTGGGATGGGAGAGTCGCTTGGGCTCACGGGAGTGAGGGGCATGGCTGGCGTCTGCCCTCACTCGTGGCCTCCCTTGAGCAGGGCCCTCATGTCCCACAGCCTCATCAGCACAGACGCCACGGCCCGCGGCATCGATGTGCCGGGAGTGGAGCTGGTGCTCAACTACGACGCACCACAGTACGCGCGGACCTATGTGCACCGGTGAGGCCGCAGGGCAGGGAGCACGCGGGGTGGAGGGAGTGTGGGAGGCACGTAGGGTGGGCAGCAGCCGGGGCGGCTCGTGGTTCCACTGCCCCGGCCTGGAGACACTGCCTGGCTGCAGGGTTGGACGGACGGCACGAGCAGGACGAGCTGGACAGGCCTTCACGCTGCTGTTGCGGGTGCAGGTGAGTAGCCAGCTACGTGAGGGCAGGTGCAGAGGGCGGCCCCAAGCCTTCCAGGCCCTGAGGACGCGGCCCCCTGGCTGTTCCCTTCCAGGAGCAGAGGTTCCTGAGGATGCTGGCTGGCGCAGGCGTGCCGGAGCTGGAGCGGCACGAGATCCTTGGGGAGCTGCTGCAGCCACTGGTCCCGCGCTATGAGGCAGCCCTGGCCCAGCTGGAGAAGACGGTCAGGGTGAGGGGCCTGTGGGGTCTGGGGGTGGGTCCAGGCTGTCCCAGGAGGAGGGGCTTCTCCAGCCCACGCCTGCTGTGCTCCCAAAAAAGGCTGAGGTTGCTGATGTTAAAAACATGGAGGGGAACAGATGGGAGGTGGGCGGCCACACCAGGTAGGAGAAGGAAGAGGGAGCCTGAGCTGCCCTGGAGCTTCCGGGCAGAGGGAACGGGACGGGGGCAAGGCTGGAGTTGGAGCGGGCACTCCAGGGGCACTGGCTTCTCTTCTGGGCACCACGGGGTTAGGGTGGGCGGCCTGACCCTCCCTCCTCCCTGCAGGAGGAGCGAAAGCAGAAGGCAGCCTAGGGTGAGCTGCCTCCAAGGAGACCCTGAGCCTTGACGTGCTGATGTGAGTAGAGAACGACTTGCCTGGGTCTTGAAGATGTGGTGCTGCCAACCACGTATAAGGAGCCAGCGCCTGGGTCCTTCGTGGCTGGAGACTGTCAAGGCAGCAACGCGGGGCTTTCTGGAAATGGGACAGAGTGGGGTCTGTCGTTTGGTGAGTGTTGGGGGCTAACCTTCAGCTGATCTGACAAATCTAGCTGTGCTAAAGCCTCACTTGTTTGTCTTGTCAGGTTGAAGGGGGCCAGCGTGCCTGCACCCAAATGTGCATGGTGGTGTGTGCCATCCACGCCGAGCACAGGTGCCCACAGGCCCCAAGGACCGAGAGGGCATTCCCGTTATTACAGGCGTCAGAAACCAAGACGCCAGGTGTGCAGCCAACAGTATCTTGTTTTATTCTGTAACTAACTACTATCATGGTATAAAGTAAACTCACAGCCTAGAACACTCCGTCGTGAGACCCCATGGACAGCAAGCCTCAGAGCACTAACCGGGTGTCAGAAGGCTCTTTTTACAAGGTTGGCCAGATAACAAAACAAACTTTCAGGAAAATAGGAGCAAACCACGGCTGTCCGTCCGCCCTGAGAACGCTGTCACGTCAGGAAGTAGTGGTGGAAGGTAGGTTTCTTCACATGCAGAACTGCCCCCCCGAGTCACGGTGGCCTGTCCCAGCTGTGCTGGGTGACAGTGAATGACCAGGAACACGTCACGGAGCCGAAGGGAACGTCTGTGGTGAATGCACTTGAACTGGAACCTCAGACTAAACTCCAGGACACATCTTCTTGGGGACGTGGAGGCAGCGTGGGGCTGGCATTTCACATAGTGGCCAGCAGTGCGATGTGTGTGCACGTGAGCAGAGGGGTGGCCAGGGGCCGAGCTCCCGCAGGCTCTAGGGATGGCACGTGGGGTGAGAACGTTGGGCCAGCAGAGCCCCCGCTGTCCACCATGCCTCGGCTGGCGGGCCCAACTCTGACCTGCCTGCACTGCAGCAGGGCCGTCTTTGACTGTGACAGCCTTGTGGGGCCTGGTTCTGGCGGGGACCTTGGGGCTTGGCACATCCTGCTCCCACTCTGCCACTCCTCAGCTGGGCTTGGTGGGAGCCTTCAGCCTGATGGGCGCCCACGCCTGTGCCTTGAGCTGCCAACTCTGGACCTTGCAGGCTGTGGGGACAGCCGACACCACCTGCTGCCGCATGAACCTGGGCTGCTGCTCGGACCACCTGAGGCTCCTAGCTGATGCACACGGCCCTCGCCCAGTCAGCCAGGATGACCGGCCACCGTCCCGACAGGTGGCTGCATCCCCCGCACAGCTCTGAAGCAGCGGCCAGAGCATTTGTCCAGAAAGAGGCCACTCTGCAGTGAATGGATGTGATGTGGACCATGTGGTGAGTTCAGACCTGGCGCTGTCAGAGATGGCAGTGTTAGTGGGGCACTGAAGTGCTTGGACCGTGGAACCAGCACCCCAAGCCTTCCCAGCGGCTGGCGGAGACACGGAGGCACATGGGGCAGGAGTGGAAACACAGAGCCAAGACGTGCCTGGAGAGACAGGAGGGACACAGCCAACTGGCTGGCACTCCCGAGTGGAGCTGGCTGGGGACAAGGTCGCAGTGGAGACATTCCGGAGGAAGAATCAGCCGCTGCAGCTTCGTGTGACCATTAACACTTAGCTGCTGGGAAGCAGACACCTCCTGCTGCAGGTTCTCCATGGCTGTCTCCTGTGGAACAACGTGAGGGACCTTGGTGACCTTCAGGAAGCAAACGGAGCTGATGGCTTTAGACAACGGGCCTCTGGTGCAGAGGTGCAAGAAGCTGCACCTGTGGGGCACCTGCAGTCCTGGGGGTCTGGGGCCCAGGGGTCGTGGGGAACGGCATCTTCACAGCGGGCCGGGTGGCTTATGGCACTAGCTGCTGCTGGGTTTGAACTGCGACTCGATGGGCGTTTACCCAGAAAACACAAAGGCGGGCGTCAGAGGAGAGAGGCATAGGACAGCTGTTCTGCATCAGCTCCCTCCTTTCTCATGAAGCAAAGATTTGGGGGTGGCCGCGGAGTGCCAGGCCCTGCATGGAGCTCACACGTTACTGGCTGATCCAGGTGCCTGATGCCGAGTCACCCACAGAGATGTCAGCCCAGGGTTCTCACAGCACTGAGTGCCAAGCACATGTAGGTGAACACATCACAGGCACAACAACTCCACAGGAGAACCACCCCACAGCGCCTTATGAGGACCCTTGCAGTACAAGGAGCTGTGGGCTTCACCCACGGACGGCTCTGACGTCTGCCCCGCCCAGGACCTCCCTCTGCGGCCATAGCATGAGGCTCACCACGACCCACCCATCACCCCCCGGCACCTGGCCTCACCCGCTTCCCTGCAGCCTCACCAGCAGCTTTTTAAACTGGCGTTCTCAGGTGTTTTCTTGAGATTGGCTTTCAGGAACTCTGGGCCGTGGAGTTGGGAGATGGACACATGCATCTAGGAACAAGGTCAGGGGCTCCCTCGGCTGGGGCAGCCCGTCCACCACAGGTGCCGGGCAGTGAGGTGGGAACTTACAAGCAGGGCCTCCCGGAGGTTGGCCGTGGCGGTGCCCGTGAGCAGCGCCCCGGGCTGCGGGGCTGTGACCGTGGTGAGGTGGGGGCTGTGCTCCCCCAGGGGCTGCGTCTGCACTGGAGGCGTGGACAGCGGCAGCGTCTGCAGTCTGAGCAGCTGCTGCTGCGGCTCACGGATGGGACCGTCATGTGTCTGCACTCGACAGGCACAGATGCTCGTGCAAACCTGACGGTTGCGCCTTTTCTGCACGCATGTTTTGAAGGGCTTGTCAGAAGATACGCGTCTAATCGCAGCACAGACGTCAGGATGAACGTTTCACCCACGTGTATAACAACATCATAGTTTTCGAGGCCCCATGTGCTCTGCTAACACAGTCACTGACAGGGGCAGCGCTGACCCTTCCCTGCCCACTGATGCGAACGGTGGCCCTGACAGCCCCAGCCTAGCCCCGTGAGACTGCTGGGGGCGGGGGGCGCCTGGAGCCCGGGCGCCCCGAGATGACTGGGAACTGCCTGAGCCACAGCCCGTGACAGACGCTGCGGCCCGCAGAGCCGTCACCAGCAGCATCGTTTCCACTGGATTTTGTGGAATAAAATTCATTCTGACACTTTAATAGAAAACAGAAGCTTAAGGGTGTGGAGTGGCCATGAATGTAAAGCGCCGAGCCCGGTGGTCTGCAGGTCAGAGTCCTGGCCTCTGTCCCCCGTCACTCCACAGCAGACACCGGCCCTGTCCTCCCCACTCTGACCTCAGAGGGTCACCGCAGTGCAAAGCTTTACCCGCCCTCCAGCACAGAAAGCACCCACAACTTCCTGCTTTCCACCAACGGACAACAACACCGGCCCGGTTTCCTCACCTGGGACAGCGTCCCCCCAGTGTTATCTGGCCGGGAGTCAGGGCCAGGGCCAGCTACATCTCAGCTCCTTGCTGCTGGTGGGCAGGGGCGAGCGCTTTGCTGGGACGCTGTGTCCCCGCGGCTGCTGAGAGAATTCACCAGCTTACAGGCGATTCTGGGTGACACAGTCCTTTCTTTGATGATAGGGATGGTCTCGGGTAGCTGCAGTCAGGAGCAGGGTTTACGGTCATTAAAAGAGGAGGCTGGTCCCTATGAAGGACACAGGCTAACACTGCTGAGCAGGAAAGGAAAATGGTTTTGAGACTTCATCTGTGGCCTCGGGGTGACACTGTAGAGCCTGCAGGTGTGGAAAGCACCTGATCTGAGCAGACAGTGCGCCTTGAGGCTCAAGGGCTGCCTTGTGAGGACTGTGTGGCCTGTGTGCCTGGCTAGGTGCTGGGGAAGAGGACCCAGTCTGTCCCGGTGACACCTTCGTTTGTGCCCCGTGATTACCTGGGGTCCCCGGTGTCACCGCAGACCTCGTCGGGGCCCGGACTGGGGTCAGGCTGGCGGCTGTGACAGTGGCAGAGGTGGCTGCGCACCCCCCTGGGAAGAAGCGGGAGTCGCCAGCGTCTGTTGTTGTGGAGCCGCCGGCCTGGGGCTGGCCATGGGCCACCTGTGTGGAGCTGCTGCCCCTGCGGCCTTGGAGACAGAGGAGAGAGGAGTGAGATCTGCTTCCAAGTAGAATCAAACCTTTCTTTCTAAAAGTCCGTCGGGTTTTCTGACACCATGATCTAGTGCACACAGGGTCCCAGAGGGCGGCGCTGCGCTGTCGGGACTCCACGAGCTGCCTGGGCATCACTGAGGGGCAGGGCACTTAACGCCAGGGCTGCGGGCAGGACCAGGGGCGCCAGGTGCTTGTTGAGGGGCTGGAAAGCAGCAGCAGGGACCCCAGGAGTCGTGCTCAGGACACTCCCACCCACAGCTGCTGAAACAAGCCAACACGGGGAGGCTGTGGGGCAAGAGCCCTGCCTGCTTCTCACCGACCACAGAACCGTGACCCTGCGCTTACCTGTCAGAATGCCAGCGCCCGTGGTCCTGAGTGCTGCAGCCTGTGGGGACACACCCAGGCAGATCTGTCACGGCAGCTCAGGGCAGCAGGGCGGCCAGCCACCGCCCCACACGCCTTCCCTCCTCATTCATTCATTCACCCCTCCCACACACTCCTCGAGTGCCTGCTGCGTGCTGTGCAGTTAGGGCACTTCATCAGTCAGGTGATGCTGTGGACGGAGTGGACAGAGAGCAGTGCCGGGTGGACAGCTGCTTTCTGACAAGCCCAGTGTTGCTGGTGCTACAGCATAGAGGGAGACGGGACAAGGAGCCTGGCTCTGACAGGAGGTGGCAGTGTGACCGAGCCTGCTGTGGCCTCCCTACTGAGGGACACCCCGGGCCCGAGGGGCATGCCTGCAGTAAGGGGGCTGTGCTGATGAGACAGCCCCTACAACCTCTGTCTGCAGGGCCCCCGGGGCCTCCGCCTACACGGTCGGCCCCTCACGGCTGCACCTCCTCCCACCTGTAAAAGGGACAGGAACAGGGCTCCTGACACCCAGAGCTGCTGGGAGGATTCCACATCACCCTGTGAAGTGCCTGCATGGAGCCCAAGCGTGGAAGGTGCTCAGCCACTGCGCAGAACCGTGGTGCAAGGGGTGTCTCGGTCTGTCTTACACACATGGACGCAGCTTGTCCACGCTGCTCTCTAAGGACCTGGCCTCACACCGTGGGCGGCTCACACAGGGTATCCCATGAACCGTGGCTAACGTGAGCACACGTGCCCCCTCCCAGGGGGCCTAGGGAAGGGGCAGGGCCACACACCAGGGCCGCGGGGCTGGGTGCAGGTGTCCCCCTTGTGGGCGGCAGCGGCCTCTGGCCTGGCTGCTGCTGAACACGGCCTGGTGCTGACTGGTTCGCTGTGACTGCTGGGCTCTCTGCTGTACAGCCAAAGCCTAGGAGAAAACCATGGTTTGGGACATTTTTCTCAATATCACAAACTGGTTTTTGCAGAATATAAAAAATGTAGATACAGCATCAGAAATTAGGCCACCCATGTCAGAGCCCTGGACTGGAGGAAAACGTGACCAGCGGGGCCCTGGAGCTCCTTTCAAATGGCCCCCTGCTGAGCACCCACACTGGACCCCAGCTTGGGGTGCAGGCCAATGCCCCACCTTCTTGGCCGTGTGTGCTCTGCTCGCTGGGAGGTGACTTGGATGGGGTACAGAGGCTTATCATAGTTGATCCCACTAAAAACAGGGGCAGTAATGTAAGTACCACCTCCAGGAGGGTCTCCACTGCAACTGGGGCGTGGGAAGCCAGGCCCGTACCTCTCTGCTAGCACTGAGGTGTGCTTCAGATTCTTCTGGAAAGGGTTCGTGCCAGGCCTGCAACGAAGCATGTTGTTCTGTTACTCAGGCGTCACAGTCACACCACTGAAGCCCCTTCCCCCGCTTCCCTTGAGCCTCAAACCCACAAGGCCCCTGGGATGGTGGACCCTCCCTCCCCCTACCTGCAGACACAGGGAGACCTGCTTGAGGTTGCATTCCAGACGCTCGGTGGGGCTGGGCTCTAGAGCACCTGGGCCCTGCC